GTCCTTGGTGCATGAGCCGGCTTTTTGGAACCTAGGGCCTATGCTGAGACACTTTGCTCAGCCTTGGTGCAGGGAGGAGGGGACTGGACTGGACCTGTCTCTGCTGAGTCTACCAGGCTGAGCTGAATCCCCAGGGGAGACCTTGCCTTGGAGGAGGTGGGAATGGGGGGGTGAACTGGTGGGGGGAAGGCTGGGTAGTGGGAGGAGGGAGGACAGGGGAATCCGTGGCTGATATGTAAAATTAAATTAATTATAAAATAAAAATATTTATAAAAAAATAAAATAAAAGAGCATTTTTATAATGGTATGAAATATTAAGGTTTAGTTTCCTATTTAAATGCTTAGAAATGACAGGGAAAGCCTGTAGAAGAATGGAGAGATGTCAGAAAGCTAAAAGTATAAAAAAAATACAATTTTATTAATGATGAAAAAAAAGAAATCAGGCTGGGCAGTGGTGGTGCACACCTTTAATCCCAGCACTCGGGAGGCAGAGGCAGGCAGATCTCTGTGAGTTCGAGGCCAGTCTGGTCTATAGAGCGAGATACAGGAAAGGCGCAAAGCTACACAGAGAAACCCTGCCTCAAAAAACCAAAAAAAAAAGAGAAAAAGAATCAGATCTATACTAATATATCGCTGTCTGTCCATATATACATACATACATATGTGCACATCATCCAGAACATGTTTTAGTGAAAGTTTCTAAGGACAATGTTTTGGTTTTTTTTTGTTTTGTTTTGTTTTGTTTTTTTCGAGACAGGGTTTCTCTGTGTAGCTTTGCGCCTTTTCCTGGAACTCACTTGGTAGCCCAGGCTGGCCTCGAACTCACAGAGATCCGCCTGGCTCTGCCTCCCGAGTGCTGGGATTAAAGGCGTGCGCCACCACCACCTGGCTTCTAAGGACAATGTAAAGGAAGAAAGGTTCCCTGGAAATCCTGGGGTGACAAACTAAAAAACAAAATTCAATTAAAATTGGAAATGGATTTTTAAAAATGTTCCTTAAAGCAAAACATACTGCTAAGTATTAAGCCTCTCTAACAAGAAGTGGCCTCAGTTTCTCCTCCTCTATAGAGGACAATACCAATACCTAGTCTCAGAGGGTTTGTATATGTTTATTAAATGATGTAATTAAATCATCTTATATATTTTCTAATGTATGCTAAGTGTCAGTTTTCTTTTGCTTTGTCTTATTTTACCACTACATCAATGATGATAACAGTGACTCCTACTGGTATAGAATTTACAACAACTGCAGAATCAAGCAAGTACTGTTTTATCATTTGAATTACTTTTATTCAGTTTCAAAATATAATCTGCTTTGTTTTCTGGAACATAGTGGGCCGTGCATGATTTGTTTTTCCCTGAGATTTCTTAGGTCCCTTCTCTTACTCTTTCTACATCTACACCTCTTGATCTCATTCTCAAATGCAGTGACCTCCAAGCTGTAGGACAGGGTTAGATCTGCCTCTAAAAATAAGATAGACTCTTTCCCTACTGCCACGCCATCATACTTCTCATCATCGTTCAGAACAAAAGGTCAATGCCAAGAGGGATTCACTCTCTCCCTACTAGGAACCACACCATTACCTATTTACTATTATTATTCAGAGCAAAAGGGCTATGCCAGGAGGGAGGTCAACGACTGATTTCTGACAAAACACCAATTACATTTCATATGGTTAGCTAGAAAGGAATTTGGATGGTACGAACTTGTTTTTCTGCTCTGGGCTACCCCATAATTAACACAATCCCCAGGCTCTGAGGCCAAAAGATATTAGCTGGAATCTAGAAGAAATAGGTGTCAAAGAAAGAAAGGTAACTAACATATTCTCTTACTTACAAAAAAATATAATACTGCAATTGCATTCAGCTTTAGTCTCCTCTATGGTGTTTCTGGAGGGAGGGGATTCCATCTGTTCTGTGCTCTGAGCTGCAAGCAGAGTACATATCTATATACATACAGGAGGCTCATTAAAAATACTTGGTAACACATCAATGAATGTATACCTTCCCCATTCAATCTCCATTCTATGTAGCATAGCAGGGAAACCACCTATTAGCCTGCCTGGCATTGGGGTAGGAAGGAGGATTGATTATCAAAATAACAGCAACTCTGGTACTATAAAAGTGCCACCAGAGTCACAGGATAACATAGGCTTACCCAGGGATCCCACAGGCTGTTGCCTTGCGGTGAAAAGCCATATATATGTATTTGTGTCCATATATGTGTATTTGTGTGTATAATGCTCATATTACATAACTCTCTGAACTACCACCAGTAGGACAAGGCAAGTAAACGTGTATCTCCCTACCCCAATAGTTGCTAACCAAAAGCCTACCTTTATAGAGCTTCTTTTCCATACAAATTTGTCCTTAGTTACATCCTTAACCTTATTCACCTATATCTACCTAGTGACAGCATGGGGAGATTAACAGTTCTGTAGAATCATCATGGAGATATTTCATGTCTATATTTATCTTCATAACATCCATGAGGTATATGGAGCAGATACTAATGCCTGCATTTTATGGATGATAAAACTGAGATCCAGAGTGGCAAAGTGAACTATCAAAATCACGTAAGCTAGCAAGTGTTGGTTCCAACACAAGCTGGGCTGCCTAATTCCAAAACAGACATCTATGTTCCCATTCTTTCTTTTTCTTTTCCTTTTTTTTTTTTTCCGGAGACAAGGTATCGTAGCCCAGTGGGAGCTCAAACTCACTGTGTAGTGAAGGATTACCCTAAACTTCTGATCCTCTTGCCTCTACCTCCCAAGTACTAGGATCTTATTCGGTGCTGGACATTGAACCCAAGAATTTGTGCACACTAGGCAGGCAATTCTAGCAATGTAACTACATCCCCAGCTCACCCACGTACCATTGGAACCATCAAAGCTGTCCTGCCCTTTGATCATGCTCTTTGTAGCTAAAACTATTATTTGGGAAAACTGCCCCTCTTTCTTTTGAGGATTTTCATGTGCTGTTTCTGTGTTTTATTAGCACTTTTTTTTTCTACCCCAGGAGGCAGCAGAGGCAAGTAGAAAGAGCTCCGTATTTGAAGTCAAGTAGGATTGTCTGGATCCCAACTTTGAAACTTACAAGACCGATGACCTTGAACAAGTCACTTATCTCTGAGCTTATCTTTCTGACCTGCAAAACAGAAATAACACTAACTATCTCAGAAGCAGTTGGGAAAAACAAATGAACTAATAGAGATAGGGACCTTGCAGTGCCTAGTACACAGTAGGAGTTAAATAAATATGGTTTGCCTTCCCCGTTCCTCTCTCACTCCAACTTGCTGTGCTGGATTGAAAACAGGCAACACTTCTTTTGCCCAAAGCTGACATTCAGGCTTTGATTCATGATCCTACTTGTCTTACTGTAACACAGGGTGGCTCACATTTCAGCTTTGGTTTTATCACTGAAAATGTTTGCTCTCATAACTTTTTAAAAATGTATATTACAAATGTGTGTGTCCATGTTCACATGTGTGTGTACATTCTTATATGTGTGTGGGTGCACATGGGGGAGTGTGGAGTTCTGAAGTTCATACTGGGTGCGTTCCTCAATTGCTCTCCATGTTTTTTTCTTGAGACAAGGTCTCTCATTGAACCAAGAGTTTGCCAATTCTGGCTAGTCTAGCTAGCTAGCTTGTTCCAGGGATCCTCTGTCTTTGCCTCCTGAGTGGTGGGATTACAGTTAACTACCATGACTTCTCACCTTTTAGGTGGGTTCTGGGGTTCTGAACTCTGTCCCTCCCATTTGCACAGCAAGCACTGTGTCCAGTGAACTATCCCTCAGTTCTCCATAATCTTTTCGTAGTTATTTGGCATACACTGGGAGCCTACATCTGGTGTACACACACGTGGGGGGGGCATGCACACACGTGCACACACACACACACACACACACACACACACACACACACACACACTCATGTACTTGAACATGAGAACATGTTTCTAAATAATTTAAAAGTTTAAGCTATTACTCAGACATTACTGCCACGCTATAAAACCAGATAAATCAGCCTTCTTCCACTTAATAAGCTAGAACCAGAAAGTTTGGGTTGCCCTTATTTGGGTAGGGAGCTAACTTACTCACTTACTTTGATTTGAATAAATGATGATACTTCACGTCTGTGATTTCTTACCAAGTTCAGATCTCATGTCCTCAGAGCCATATTCCAAACAGACTTTCTAGCAAAGGACAGAGCTACTACTATCCAGTTTCCCATGGGCTAGTTTTAGACTGTCAATGTGGTTTAGCCTGTACCTAGCTATTTCTCTGTTATCAAATTCTCCGCAATGGAGGGTGTTAAACAATGGGCACAAAGGAAGGTACAGTGGGCATAGGAGAAAACTGAGCTAGTACTGGAGTGGTGATACAGGACTTTGATTAAAAAATGTAAGATCTGCCGGGCGGTGGTGGCGCACGCCTTTAATCCCAGCACTCGGGAGGCAGAGCCAGGCGGATTTCTGTGAGTTCGAGGCCAGCCTGGGCTACCAAGTGAGTTCCAGGAAAGGCGCAAAGCTACACAGAGAAACCCTGTCTCGAAAAACCAAAAAAAAAAAAAAAATGTAAGAACTATGGAGTTTGACTGACAAGAGGGTAAGGAAAGCTTTAAAATGCTTTCCTTATACATTTTGACAGTTTTTAACTGGTTGCAGTGAAAACATTACTGCCATCTTCAACAGTTTTGTTGTGAAATTGTCGAAGCACATCTAAAGCTAGACAGCATGATGAAACCCTTTAGCTTCAAAAGCCATCAACATTTCTGTTGGTTCGATTTGTTCTTTTCCCTTTTTGCTGCAGTATTTCAAAGCAAGAAATGATTTCATTCCCCACTACTTTAGTTGACACCTCAAAAATATGTTTTATTGCATAAGGATTGACACAATTTCTTAATACTAGAATCTAATGCCTGTTCCATAGTTTATCTTCACCAGTTATATAAAGAAGTACCTTTGCAGTTGATTTATTGTAATCTGGTATATATGAAGAAGAATTTGGTATTGGATTTTCAAAGGCCACACATATTTGAATAATCATCATGTTTTAGAGTGGAAAAATAGAAACACTCATTTGCGCTATGCACTGTTTCTATTGTCTTTAAAAAAAAAACATTGAGCTGGACATGGTAGATTGTGCCCATCATCCCAGCACTTGGGAGGCAATGGAAGGAGGGTCAGGAGTTCAGGCTAGTCTTGGCTAAAAATGAGCTCCAGTTCAGCCTGGGCTGCAGGAATCTCTGTCTCAAAATGCTAAATGAAACTGGGACATGGTGGTGTACACCAGTAATCCTAGCACTCAGTTTGCTGAAGCAGGATGATTTTGAATTAGAGGCTACCCTGGGCTAACCAGCAAGATCAAAGGCAGCCATAACTACACAGGCTAGAGATGCTGGAGTATACTGCAGGAGAGAGAACCATGGTGGTAGCATTTATCTCGTCCATTATAAAAATGCAGGTCCTTGTCAAATGGTATTTCATTCATTCACACAGCACTGTGAATTTCAGGTCATTGAAAATAAATTGTGGCTTTTCCACTGTACTGAGTCTGCTGAAAGGTTGCATGAGCAAGGCCCACCCTCCTGAGCTGAAGAAATTTATGGACAAGAAGTTATCATTGAAGTTAAATGGTGGCCAACATGTACAAGGAATACTATGGGGCTTTGATCCCTTTACGAATCTTGTGATTGATGAGTGTGTGGAAATGGCAACTAGTGGGCAACAGAATAACATCGGCATGGTAGTCATACGAGGAAACAGCATCATCATGTTAGAAGCGTCTAAACATGTTAGAAAGAGTCTAAACAATGGCTGTTCAGCAGAGGAGTCCACATCCTTCCCCTAAGGACTGTTTGATTGGGGTGTAGAATTGGGTCAGGTACATTTTCATATGAAACTTTTTGCTAAATAAACTTTTGTGATATTAAAAAAAGAGAGAGAAAACCAATTGTGAAGCAAACATTGGACAGACAGAAGACTAGAACATCGCTGGGTAGAACAGAAAGGGAGATACTTGGAGAATGCAGAGGTTACAGGAATTAGGAAAGACAGTCTAACATGAGGACATTCAACTGTTCAATTGAAACTATTTCTTATTTCACTGATTTCTTTCTGTATGGAAGCAACTCAAGTCTGGAAAACTCAACTGTCATATTTATAACAGGAGGCTAGTCCTACAGGATAACACATATTTGTCAGTACACACCCTAAACCAATTGGTAGGTCCTATTCTCAACTTTAGTTGGAATTCAATATCTATTATTCTACTAGAGAGTTGACCAAAAGGGCTAGGTATAAATGACTGAATTTGATCTCATTCTGCAATTGCATGGTAAAGGAAAACATGAAAGAAAGTACCACCTGCTTGCTGGTATATTTTTGGTATGAGAGTATGAATTCCCTCAATAATCTGAGATTGTTGACAACACAATTCAATAACTCTAAATTGAAAGTTACTCATATAGGAAATAAATATTTTAAAAATAAGAAAAAGCCTGGGGCTGTAACTAAGTGATAGAACACTTGTCTAGGGTTCAAGAGGCCCAGGGTTCCATCCCCAGCCTATAAAAGAGTAGAAGAAAGGACAAAGAGAAATGATAAGGGGGAAAGATAGAGCTACAGTATAAAACAGATCAAGTAACAAATAAATAAGAGGGCTGGGGAGATGGCTCAAGAGATAAGAACACTTGCTGCTTGTAAGGGTGCAGATTTGAGTTTGGAGCCCCACCACCCACATAAAAGCTAGGCTGGGCAATCAACAGCTGTAATTCCAGCATTGAGGAGTGGGGCACAGACAGTTGGGGCCCCAGAGCTCAGTGGTCAGTCAGCCTAGCTGAGCAATGGCAAGCTCCAGATTCACAAAGAGACCTTGTCTCAAGGAGATAAGGCAAAGAGGGACAGAGCAGGACACCAATATCCTCCTCTGGCCTCCATCCCCACACACATACACATGTGCATACACAAACAAATAAATAAGAATTTAAATACTTGAATAAAACTATCAATAAATCAATATAGTAGTTGAGTTGAGAATTTTGTAGCTTACAGAAATTTTACAGTCTTCTCTTATATTCAGTCACAAAGAACAAAGTTACATTAAAACAGTATGGAATTAAAACTCTATCATCTATGATCTTTATTCTGCAAAAGAGAACTAAAAATCACAAAAAAATAAATTTCCAAATCCTTAACTGCTTGTAAATTAAGAAACAGGCTCTTAAATAACTGTAAAAACATCAAAATTGAAATTGTTAATTCTATAGAAAATAATTAAAGAGCACAGTCTTATTTTAAAGTTTATGTGTTTGGACGTTTTACTTGCACCTCTATCTGTGCACCATGTCTGTTTGGGGCTGGAATAAGCAGAAGAAGGCATCAGATCCTCTGGAACTGGAGTTACAGGTGGTTGTTGGCTACCATGTAGGTGCTGGGAACTGACCCCGGATCCAGAAAAGCAGCTGGTGCTCTTAACCACTGAGCCATCTCTCTAGACCCAAGGGCATAGTCTTAATACAAAACATCTATTGAATACTGCTAAATTGGACTCAAGAGACTATAAAATGATAGATAAATTAACAATTTAACTCAAAAAATGGAAAAGGAAATCAAAGTAAATAAAGAGAGGAAACTCACTTTTAAAAAGGTGACATTAATGAAATCATCATAGATAACTATAATCATAACTAAAATAAAAAGTGGCTCTTTCAAAGCTCAATGAAAAAGGAAAAGAACAAAAGAATCCCAGCACTCCAGAGACAGAGGCAAGTAATTTTCTGAGTTCAAAGCCAGCCTGGTCTACGCAGAGAATTCTAGGATAATCTTTGCTACATAGTGAGATCTTGTCTCACAAATACATACATACATACACACACAAAAATACAATAGTAACAACAAAAAGGGAGAGATGCCCATAGCTATAGACAATAAATAGTGGGCTGGTAAAGATACAACAGTTGGTCACAATTTACAGCACTTACTTGTTTTTATAGTATAAAATTTCCACTATGGTGGACTTGAAGCACCAGTGTGTAGCCACTAAGCCCCAAATGCGAAGGAATGGCATAGAACTGGCAGCCAGTTCCAACACACTACTGGATAGATACTAAAGTAATTACAAGGGAATATTACATGTAAACTTATGACACATAGTTGAAAATTATTGAAATACTACCTAATTTTAGGTAGTATTTAGAAGAAGTGAAAAATATTAAGAGACTAATAACTTCACTCAAGATTGGAAAGTTACATGAAGATTTTAAAAGGCTCCAGGTCCAGACAGTTGGAGTGCTGAATTCTAGAGTCTCTTGAAAGAACAGATTAGTTCCATATCATTGTATTTATTTAAAACCACAGATAAAGATAAAAAGACCTCAAATGCATCTGATGAATCTAGTATAATATCACAATACTCAAAGCCAAAAAAGATAATCAGAAATAGTAAGACTATAGATTTATTTCACTTCTGAATATATATAAAAAATTCTAACTGCATTTAAAAATCAATTTTAACATGGCAACAAAGAAATAAAGTATCATTTTAGAAATAAAAGAATGACTTAACATTAGAAAATTTACCAACATATGGAATCATAGTAACACATTCTAAAATTTAAAAAAATTCAGTAGTCAAACCAAATGAAAACTCTAAATTTTTTTAAAAAGTTGCTTGAAAATGCTCAAAACAAATCACCAACACCATACTAGATGGTAACATGCTAAAGGTGACATGCCCTTTCCAGTAAAATCACAGACAAAGTGAGAATATCTGACATCATAGCTCTTGATGTTTGGTTGAGGCAAAAGAAAATGAAGTAATTGGTGTATTTTTGTAAAGAAGATAAAAGCATCTTGGGTAATCCAAGAGACTACTTTACTATAGATCTGAAATTATCAGTACAGCAAGAAAACACACAAAATCGAAAGCTTTTCTCCACATGCTTTTTAAAAGTGAAAATGAAAAAGTAACACATTTCCAACAGGTCTATAAAACACCTAGGATTCGATTTAACAAAGGGGAACAGTATCTATTTGGAAAAAAATATTAAAGAAATGATTTCAAAAATAACAACTGAAAAATATAGAGATATATTATCAGGTTTCTTGATGAAAAACCTCACATCATAAAAATATATTTCTTCCAAAAATTAATATGCAATTGTAATAAGATAATAATTGCAACCTAAACTGAGTATGACTTATAACTGGATAAGAGTATTTTAAATTTCATATTTAAAAACAAGTATCTAAAACAATAGGAAAACAGATACCAGATGCTAAATATGTTTTGTTTTGTTCTGGTTTGTTTTGTGACAAGCTTTCCCTATATAGGGTTGACTGGCCTGAATTATGAATCCTAGACTGATGGTGTAGTCATGATGATCCTGCCTCAGCCTCCCAAGTACAAAGATTATTGGTGTGTGCCATCATGCCCTGTCCAATTGTTAAAACCACTATAATTAAAATAATAAAGCAATGGCAGATGAATAGAAAATTAAATCAATGGGACAGAAAACAGTATAGAATTAGGATTAAGTCCACATGAAGACTCAATATATGACTAAGGCAACACACCCATTTAATGAGAAAAGGACTTTTTATATTTTAACAAATGGCCTTTACACAGTAACTATCTCCCTGGTAGTAAATTTCAAGACCTCATATATCCTAAAATAACGTCAGGTGTATTAATGTGTTAACTATAAAAAGTAAAATCATTTCAGATGTGGCAAGAAAGTTTTACGGAAGGGCTGAGTATGTAACTCAGTTGGTAGTGTGCTTGCGTAGCTTGCACGAGGTCCTGGGTTTTAGCCCTACCACCATTTAAACTGGGTGAGCTGGCACACACCTGCAATCCCAGCAGTTGGGAGGCAGAGGCAGAAGTTAAGGTCATCCTTGGCTGCATACTATCCGGCTAGATGAGGGCCCTATCTCAGATAGTGATTGAGGGGAAGAGGAGAGAGAGAGAGAGAGAGAGAGAGAGAGAGAGAGAGAGAGAGAGAGAGAGAGAGAGAGAGAGAGAGAGAGAGATTGATTAAGTTAGCTGTGTAGAGAATTCCACAAGCTCCCAAACTCTTCTCATCTAATCAGTGGCCTCCTCTTGGAAAACATTATTCATTTCCACGGTCTTGTGCATGTGTGGCCTATGAAGAAACTAACTCCCCTTTAATTTTGTGGTGCCCAGCTATAAGCACAGCAGTCCAGTCTTCAAACCTCAAGTCCCAGCACCTCCATGTTTGTTTGCAGCAAAATCATGGCACTCCTACTTCAGAGAAAAAATAAAAATTATATCACAAAACACCCAACAAGCATCCCTCTTCAACCATTTTCCCTTCCTTCTGTCTTTTAGGGAAAGGAAAGGGGTATGTCTCTCTAGAAAGCTCACCCTCTTCCTGCGCTCTGGATCTCATTTTCTCCTCTTTTGGTGTTCCTCACTTAGGCAGTTAATACTCTTCCCTGTTCCTGCCACTCAGTATCTCTCTGACAATTGGTTAATTTCCACTGGCATTTAAAGAGACTTGTTTTCATATCATCTCAAACACTGAAAACCCATTTACTTCTTCTAGAAAGTCTGTCTTCCCTCAGCTTCCATGACGCCAGTCTCAGTTTTCTTCCTAACATTCCAACTCCTTCACACACATCTTAAATGCCAGTATTCTTAGAATGCTGGCATTCTTGCAGACTCGATTTTTGGTGTTTTCATGGTTGAGATTTTTGCCTTGTTTTGGTATGGGTGGTTGGGTTTTCTTTTTATTTCTCCTGTATTAAGGATTTATCTAGGGTTTTCACATATGAGGCAAGCAATCTACCACAGAACTACACCCTTTTTTACTTTATTTTGAGACAATGTCTCACTAAATAAGGCAGGCTGACCTCGAGCTTTCAATCCTCCCACAAGTCTCTTAAGTGTCTGGGATTGCAAGTGCATATCACCATGCCCAGCCTGATCTCATCTATTTTTAAGGCTTCAATTGCCACTGAATGCTAGTTTCTTGCCTATTTTTATTGAGATATAAATTGCATCCCATACAATCAATACATTTTAAGTCAACAATCTAATGGCTTTGGGTATGTTTAAAGACTTATGCAATCATTAGCACAATCCAATTTTTAAAAGATTTTTAAAAATTAGGTTTATGTGTGCATGCATGTGCATGCAGATATTCATAGAAGCCAGAAGAGGACATCGGATGCCTTGGAGTTGAAGTTATAGGTAGTTCTGAGCCCCACAATGAGGTGGCTGGGAATTGAACTCTGGTCCTCTGCAAGCACAGCAAGTGCTCTTAACTACTGAGCCATCTTCAGCCCAGCAAATCCAATTGAAGCACAAGTCTATTACACTGAAAAAGATCCTTATTTTGCCTTGTCTATACTTCCATCCCAAACCTCTCCTAAAAT